GTTCATCTATGCTTGGCAAGGTGAGCTGGTAGTGCCACTCTTGACATGAAGGAGCTACTTAAACACAAATTGGATTAGCAGGACAGGATTAGAGACTGCTGGAAGGTATTAGATACTCATAAACTGCTTTGTGGAAACTCCTATTGTTTTCATTATAAGCCCATACTTCTATAGAGGCAACCCAATGAATTGTGGAATTAGTCTAGTAATAAAAAAGAGACAAAATGAGATATGAAATGAACAGACTATATTTTCATAATTCCAAGAAGCTGAATTGGGCAATAATTAGCAAAACTACAACTAGATAATCTGAAATAAGAGTTTTATATGTTTTGGGTTTTTTTTTTGTGTGTGTGTGTGGTTGGTTGGGGGAGGCTGAGGATTGAACTCAGTGGCAAACAACTACTGAGCCACATCCCCAGCCCAATTTTGTGTTTCATTTAGAGACAGGGTCTCACTGAGTTGCTTAGCACCTCACCATTGCTGAAGTTAGCTTTGAACTCACGATGCTCCTGTCTCAGCCTCCCAAGCTTCAGGGATTACAGGCATGTGTCACCGTGCCTGGCCTGTATTTTTTCTTAGTTAAAAATAAACACACTTGGGGCTGGGGATGTGGCTCAAACAGTAGCGCGCTCGCCTGCCATGCGTGTGGCCCGGGTTCGATCCTTAGCACCACATACAAAACAAAGATGTTGTATTCGCCGATAACTAAAAAAAAATAAATAAATATTAAAATTCTCTCTCTCTCTCACTCTCTCTTAAAAATAAATAAATAAATAAATAAATAAATAAACACACTTAAAATGGTCCCTACTCTCTCCTCCATCAAGAAGAAAAACATTCAAATAAGAAAAATGATTAAGAAGTGACTTTAACAATGGAATGAGATGGACATCATTACATGTATGAAGTATATGTATGAAGACACGAATGGTGTAACTCTACTTTGTATACAACCAGAGAAATGAAACATTGTGCTCTGTATGCATAATATGAATCACAAATCATTCTGCTGTCATATATAAAAAATTAAAATTAAAAAAAAAGATGGACAGGGGCTGGAGTTGTGGCTAAGTGCTACAGCGTTTGCCTTCCATGTGTGGGACCCTGGGTTCGATCCTCAGCACCACATAAAAATAAATGAATAAAATAAAGGTATTTGTCCAACTACAACAAAAAAAAATTTTTTAAATGGACAGACAAAAAAAATAAGTGACTTTAAGAAAAAAGAATATGAGCTATATAAGAAATGTCAGGGTTTTCTGGACATTTCAAATGAATTAAAGTCCCAGGTCTAAATAGGATTACGATCCCAGGATGCTGAAAGAATTTTCATATGTAAATCCAGAATTCCTGTTATTAGCCTTTGAGAAATCATGGAGAATGGAAAGCTGACAAAACACGGACAGCTAGTGCACTCGCTTTCCAAACAGGAAATGGGGAGCGTGAGGCTGATTCCATCAAAAATTCTTGGAAATTCAAGTTTTAGTTCTGCCATTTAATGATAATGTAACCTTGGACATATTTTGAAACTTTGCTGTAAGGATTAAATGAGATTATATATGAAAATAATACATAGAATATAGGAATACTAATCTATGCAATATGGCACCTGTTACAGAGAAATTTCCCAGGAAATCATTTTCTTTACTTCTGCCACTTCAAAAAGAGGCAGTAACAATTAAGTACTGATGTGGATTCCTTAAGAATGACTCTTATCTACCTAACATTATTTTTCTAGTTAAAAATAAACACACTTAAAATGGTCCCTACTCTCTCCTCCATCAAGAAGGATGGAAATTTTTCTAGTGCTGGGTGAAAAGGTATTTCTGGACAGGTACCTTGGGAATGTGCCTTATTTTTTTTTAATATTGAGTTTCCAATTTTATTTTTCATAATAAGAGAAGAAAAGAGAATAAAAGGAAGAATGCTGAGTCAGCGTCATGTTGGTTATGTTGACTTTCAAATTTTAATGTGCATAAAAATGTATGGGAAGCTCTTAAAAGTGTAAATTAATGTAATTTCCTGAAGTTCTATCTTGTCAATTTAGCATAAAGTGCAGGACTTTTTGTTTTTGTTTTTGTTTGTTTTGTTTTGTTGTAATTACAAGAATCCCAGGTGATTTTTTAAAGACATTTAAAAAAAATATCTTTATTTATTATGTTTTATGTGGTGCTGATTAAACCCAGGGCCTCACAGCTGCGAGGCAAGCGCTCTACCATTGAGCTACAGCCCCAGCCCCCAGGTGACTCTTGCAGAGGCCATGGCCAGCAGAATAATGCCTCCCTTGCTTCCCAAAGAAGCCCCTGTCCTAATCCCTGGAACCTGTGTATGTGCTACTCAGCATGGACAAGGAACTTTCCAGATGTGATTATAATTGAGGACCTCAAGCTAGAGAAGAGGAGCCTGGATCCTCTAGGAGTGTCCAATCCACTCAGATGAGTCCTTAAAAGCAGAAACTCCCAGAATGAGTACCCTCATTTTAAAATGGTATTTGATAAAAATCTCATAATATCCTCATGAAAAGACTGGATTTTTTTAGATGTCAGGTGACTGATTAACCACATTACCAGTTTTATTCATTATTCTTTATGCCTCAGTTTCCCAATTTATAAAAGAAATATAATAGCAATACCTCATTGGGTTGTCATACAAATTACAGTGCCTAGCTTTTAGCAAGCACCACATAAATATTTGTTAAACAAACAGAGGTTCTTGTGCTATACATGGCTCCAATCTCTTCAACAGGTTCATCAGAAACTTGTTGAATTTTTATATAGTGTGCTCATCAAATTCTCAGATAATATTAATGTTGAATGATAAAATCAAAATTCAAAAAGAACTTGACAGGCTAGGGGGCTATGAAATGAAATATGAGATTACTTATTTAGAAATAGAAATTTTAAGGAAAAAATAATTTTTTATAAGTATTATCCTAGCTTATCAGAACTTTCTGTGAATTATGATGGAAATTTTAGTCCACTCCAGATCAGCGTGCAGAAGAGTGTGTGTCTAGCAATTAATGCAATGTAGAGCTGCATTAAGAGAATTGAAATGTCCAAATAAAGACACTGGACAAAGATGACACTCCACGATGGCAAGCACAGTCTGCCCACAGCTAACTCCTCTCCCCATCTCTTCCTTAGGTGTCTCCTCAGCTCAGCTGTTACTACTCTGGATATGATGATGGCTGAGGACTCAGATAAGCAATAAGGAAATGTAAGGCAGAAATAGATCACCTTTCCATCTCATCTAGGGGACAGGTAACATCCTCAGGTGAGTCTGAGGGAATAGCCTCAAGATTTGCAAAGAAATAAAATTAGAACTTTATCAGGGCTCCTAATGGCTCACTGTGCTACAATGCTAAAATAAATTCCTCTCTAATCATGATTACTGCAGGCTTTATCTAATCTATTTCCTGTAGGAAATCAAGCTACTCCCAGACATTTATCAACTTTTTTCTCATAATAATTCCTGTCCCTGACAAAAGAAGATATTGTTATCCCCACAGTATAGATAAGAAATTGAAGTAAAGAAGTAAAGTGAATTGCCCTAGGTCACACAGAATTGGAATTACAATTTACTATCTGATCTCAGAGTGCACTACATGAGTTTTGGGAGGAAGCATACTGGAATCACATTATATCCTTAAAAAAAAAAAAAAAGGCCTATTTACCTTAATCTCTGGGAGAAAGAAGATTAATTGTATTTTCCTTGGCACATGCCAAAGATGTTGAGTAGACGCTTCAGATTCCACATGCTTATTCTAATCCTTTTCCAAATACTTGGAAAGCCTTGGTTTGACTACCAGAAGATGCAGGAAATTAACTTTATTTTTTTAATTAAGGCAAATATTTGTTTGCTAGAGTCTCCAAGGAAAGCAATTAATTCAGAAAGTTGTATAGTACAGGCAGGTTATTCAGATCACCTGGGGCCCCAAACAGGCATGAATCCAGATGGCTGGCTCCCTCCATCCCCTAGCCCCACCTCGTTGTCCAGGGACTGGATAGATAAAGGTCGAGTGCAAGAATATTTTGAACCAAAAGAATTCCATGCAAACATAATTGATTAACATAAAGATTTACATATTCCACCTAATTATTGAACACATCCACATTTACTATACAAATATGAAAAAATAAAGTTAAGCAAAACAAAATGAAACCAAAAGCATCCACCATGCAATTACCAAGTAAGAACCTTCTGCACCTGTTCACAAACTGGAAATTCTCTAATGCTCATTTCTCTGATAGGCCATGAGAAAAATCAGGCAGAACTGCATACAACCCAAAGATTCTGTGTGAGGCGGTGACTTATCCATGGAAGACTAGCTGTTAGATTCTTAGCATTTGTCTCAGACATTAATATTAATTATTATTAGTTAATTAATTAATATTATTAATATAGCTGGTGGTAAAAAGAAGAAATGGGGGCTGGGGTTGTGGCCCAGGGGTAGAACACTTGCCTAGTACTTGTGAGGTACTGAGTTCAATTCTCATCATGACATAAAAATAAATGAATAAAATATATTCTATCCATCACCAACAAAAAAATAAATAAAAATTTAAAAAAGAACAAATAAATTCCTTGATTGTACGCTGTTGGCATGAAAAGTTTCCACTACAATTCTGGAATTCTATAACTCATTTGCCTAAACCAGAAAATATCAGGGCCAAAATTGATTGTCTATATCTATACACACAATCATCACATGTATTGACTGTCATGATTTAAAAATATATTTTAGGGGCTGGGGTTGTGGCTCAGTGGTAGAGCACTTGCCTAGCACCCATGATGCACTGGGTTCGGTCCCTAGCACCACATATAAATGAACAAATAAAATAAAGGTGGAAAAAAAAATATATATATATACACACACACACTGAATCCTAATCAATAAACCATGAGTACAGTAGAACTTTTCCAAATAATGGGCAATGCTGCCACAAAAATAGTGGATTTCAATCAATTTCTCCTCCATCTGAAAACCATGGCATTACCTTTTTGTTGGCAGCCACACCATCCTCACAGTCAAGCACTGCACAGTCCACGTTCAGGGATGGAATCTTCTTGATTTTCTTTTCATCATTTCCAGGCACATAGAGCACAGCCCTCCGAGGAATGTACTTGTGATTGGGCAAGGAACTGTACCCAAGCCTGGGCACATCAGCTGCCAGGAATGCTTTCCTGTAGGAGACATAATTGAAATTAGTCCACAACAGAACCTCTGTGTTTAAAAATTATGAAAAACTTATTTGGTGGTTTTAAGGCAAAATTAGAACACATGGACAATCCTTCAAGATCATGACAGAACACATTACAACTAGGAAAACATAGAAGAAAGAGCACTATTTATTGGCATTCTCGTCTGACAGAAGGAGAAAGGTGTGCCTATTTCTTCTTGGAAAAAATTCCATTATCAGTGTACTGTCCAGATGGTGACCATGGAGAAAAAGGTGAGAACCATATATCCAAAAGGTTCCAAACAACACCTCATGTTGAAAGTCCTTCATCTGAAATGCTTGGGACCAAAAGTGTTTGGTGCTTCAGACTTTTGGAATCTTGGAATGCTGGATACATAGAATGAGAAATCTTAGGGGTTGAACCTAAATATAAACATGAAGTTAATTTATATATCATATATGTCTTATATACAAAGCCTGAAGGTAATTTTGTAAAATAATTTTTCAGTGCTGAGGATTGAACCCAGGGCCTCATACATGCTAGGCACCCCTGGCACAATTTTTTACAATCAACATCCTACCTTTGCAAGTTGAAAAATTAGAAAAAGAAGAAAAACATTACACTCATAACTAGCAGAAGGAAGAAAATAATAAAAATAAGAGCAGAGATAAATGGAATAGAGAATAATAAAGCAATAGAGAAAATCAATGAAACCAAAATTTGACTGTTTGAAAGGATCAAGAAAATTCACAGACTTTTAGCAAGATGGACTCTTTAAGTCACTTTTTTGGCTGTTGTGACCAAAGACCTGACAATAACAATTTTAGAGGAGGAAATTTTTTTTTGGGGGGGGTGCTCATGGTTTTAGAGGTCTCAGTCCTTAGACATCTGACTCCATTGCTCTGGGCCCAAGATGAAGCCACACATCATGGAGGAAGGGTGTTAAGGAAGAGAACATCTGGGAACACGGCACCAGGATGCAGGGAGCAAGACTCTGCAACCCAAAGGCATGCTGCAGTGACCACTTTCTCCAGCCACACCCTGCCTGCCTACAGTTCTGACCAAGGTAATCCCTAATCCAGGATTCATGAACTAGGGTAAGTCCCTCATAACCCAATCATTTTACCTCTAAGCTCTCTTGCATTATCTCATGCATGAGCTTTTGGGGGATACCTCATTTCTAAACCATAACATGGACTAAAGAAAAAAAAGACTCAAATTACTAAAATCAGTAATGAAATGGGAATAATACTAACAATGCGAGGGAACAAAAAAGATCATAAGATAGTACTATGAACAACTGTGTGCCAACAAATTGAATAACTAGATGAAATGGATGAATTCCTAGAAACAAGATCTACCAAAACTAAGTCATGAAGAAACAGAAAATCAAAGTAAATCTGTATGTAACTAGTAAGGCGCTTAAATCAGTAATCAAAAAATCTCCCAAGAAAGAAAATCCATGAAGGCTTCAGCTTCACAGGTAAATTCTACTAATTTTTTAAATATATTTTAGTTGTTGATATACCTTTATTTTTTATTTATATGTGGTGCTGAGGATCGAACCCAGTGCCTCACACATGCTAGGCAAGTGCTCTGCCACTGAGTCACAACCCCAGCCCCTTCTACTAAATCTTTATTTATTTATTTATTTATTTTTGTGGTGCTGGGGATTGAATCCAGGATCTTGTGCAAATACTGTATACCAACTGAGCTATATTCCTAGCCCCTAAATCTTTAAAGAAGAACAAATACCAATCTTTCTACACTTCTTTTCTTTTCTTTTTCTTTCTTTCTTTCTTTTTTTTTTTGATGTGGTACTGGGTATTGAACCCAGGGCCTCCCGCATACTAGGCAAGTATTCTACCTCTGAGCTATATCCCCAACCCAGGAAAACATTTCTTAACTCATCCTATAATGCCAGAATTACCATGGTACCAAAGCTAGATAAAGATACTAAAAGAAAACTACAACTCCATATCCTATATGTACACTGATGTAAAATTCCTCAAAATATACTAGCAAACTGAATTCAGAAGCGTATAAAAAGTATTATACACAATGACCATGTGGGAATTTTTTCCTGTAATGCAAAGACCTTTCAACATAGGAAATCAATCAATAAAATACACATTAACAGGAATGCATGGATGGTTCAACATAAGAAAATTAATCCATATAATATTCCACAGTAACATAATAAAGAGAAAATCACCACCTGATTATCCCAATTCATTCAGAAAAGCACCTGACAAAATTTAATTTTTTTATGATGAAAACATTCAACAAATTAGGAATAAAAATAATAATAAAAGCCATATATGGAAAACCCACATTAAACATACTCAGAGGCAAAAAATAGAAAGCTTTGTCTCAATGATCAATAACAAGATAAGGATACCCACTCTGGCCATTTCCACTCAACGTAATGCTGGAAGTTCTAGTAATTAGGCAAGAAAGGAAACCAAAGGCAAACAAACTGATAGAGATCAAAATTGTCACTGTTTGTATATGATATGATCTTATACACAGAAAATCCTAAAGATTCTACAGAACAAAAAAAAATGGTAGACTTAAAAAATGGGTTCAGTAAAGTAGCAGGATATATAATCAACAAACAAAATTCAGTGTATTTCTCTATATTAGCAGTGAAGAATCTGAAATGGAAATTATAAAAATAATTCCCTTGACAAAAGCATCAAAAATAACAAAATACTTAAGAAGTAACTTATCCAACCAGGCATGATGGTACACACCTATAATCTCAGCAACTCAGGAGGCTGAGGCAGGTCAATCACAAATTCAAGGCCAGCCTGGGCAACTCAGCAAGGCTCTAAGCAACTTGTCTCAAAAATTAAAAGGGCTGGGATGTGGCTCAGTGGTAAAGTGCCTCTGGGTTCAATCCCCACTACCAGATACATAGACAGACAGACAGACAGATATCTTATCCAAAAGCAAAAGACTTGCACAATGAAAACTAGAAAACATTTGCTGAAGGTAATGAAAGAAGACATAAGTAAATGGAAACACATGCCATATTCATGGATTAGAAGACTTCATATGGAATTTCAAGGCTCCCTGAATAGCCTAAACAATCTTTTTTTTTTTTTTTGTACTGGGGATTTAACTCAGGGTTCTTTACTACTAAGCTACATCCCCAACCCCCTTTTTAAACTTTTTTAAAGATTTTTTTACTTTGAAACAGGGTGTCATGTTGCTTAGGGCCTGGGTACATTACTGAGGCTGGCTTTGAACTTATGATCCTGCCTCACCCTCCTGAGTTGTTGGGATTACAGGTATATTGCCACCATAGCAGGCACAAAATCAGTGTTGAATAAAAAGGAACAAAGTTGGAAGACTCACACTTCCTGGTTTCAAAACTGACTATGAAACTACAATAATCAGGGGGTATGAGGGTGGGAAGGATAGTAGAATTAAACAGACATTATTATCTTATGTACATGTATGGCTGCATGACTAATGTGATTCTACAACATGTACATTCAAAAAAATGAGAAATTATACCCCACTTATGTATGACATTTCAAAGTACATAAATGTATTCTACTGTCATATATAACTAATTAAAACAAATAAAATAAAATTTTAAAAATGTACAATAATCAGCTAGGTGCAGTGGCGCACACCCGTAATCCCAGGGGCTTGGTACGCTAAGGCAGAAGGATCGCAAGTTCAAAGCCAGCCTCAGCAAAAGTAAGGTGCTAAGCAACTCAGAGAGACCCTGTCTCTAAATAAAATACAAAAAGGGCTGGGAATGTAGCTCAATGGTTGAGTGCCCCCGAGCTTAATCCCTGGTACCCCCCACCAAAAAAAAACACAAAAAAACTGCAATAATTAAAACAATGTGTCACTGGCATAGAAATAGACATACAAGCCAATAGAATTGACTATAGAGCCCAGAAATAAGCCTTCATATATTCAGTCAAATAATTTTTTTACAAGAGTGCCAAGGCCACTCAATAGGGAAAGGAAGTTTTATTCAGTAAATGATGCCTCTTACCTACCCTGCTGCCTCTACTTTTCTCATTAGTGAGCAGGTGGTAAACACCTGATAGGGGACTTGCACTGGGCTTCCCCACCACACAGGGCAGCATCGATGTGCAAATCAGAAGAAGGCATCCCCTTGTACCTTCCAGAATTAAGAGCAAGAAGGCACCTCCTGCTCCTGCTGCAGCATCATTGGGGGTGTGGAGAGGGGCCACTAGTGTCCTTGCCAGGTGCTCTGTCCAGGGCATACCCTGAACAATTATATGCAAGGGCTCAAAGTGCTAAGCATGGTGCTGAGCATGATGGGGAGCAGCCCAAGGAACAGGGATGCCCAGCAGGTCCAAGGAGGGACACCCAGAGGAGTGGCCTGTAAAACAGCACATAGTGAAGGTGAGGGGGGGGCGCGGGGGGAACCATCAAAGGCACCTGCACTGTTTGGAATAGGAAGAAAGGCGTGGGATGGGGGTGGGGATCAGGTTCTATTGCTGATTCCACAGTCTGGAGGGGTCTGTCCAAGCCCCATCATGCGGTCACAGCTCTGGAGGAGGAAGGAGGACTTCCTCAGCCTCCCTCCTCTGATTCTCTGCCATCCCTCTGCCCAGGCTGTTCCAAAATCTGTTCTACACTCGAGTTGTGTTCAGCACTGACACTGTGTACAAATACAGTTGCATTAGGTGACAAGATCAAACTTATTTTATCTTACATATTTGGAGTTAGAGCCTCTTGACAGTCAACATGTAAATGTATTCAAACAATATGCAAAGCAAGGGCTTAACATGAGTTGAAAAAAAATCTGGTAGCCTTATGGTGAGTTCTCTCTACAGAGAAACCTTTTTTTAGATACAACATTCCAGAGGGGGCCCCTCCTGGCCTTGTTTCTGTCTTCCTCCTTTCCTCCTTCACCTGATGCCCTTAATTAACCATTTATATAACTAGAGACAGAGCTAGTCCCTAGGCCACAGAGTTCTGAGCCTGGGATTCAATATGGCAACTAC